ATACTCGGATTCGAACCAGTGACCTCATGATTGCAAGCCAGACGTGCAGACCACTCGATCACCGGCCGACGACTTATTGGTTTCAGTGATTACCGATTCACCGAAAACCAGGCTTTCTTCCGCCTTGGTCATGATTGCATCGGCCACAGGTTTAATCTTCGCCAAGTTTTAATGCAGAAACACGCATACAGACGACCGACTATGGTGATTTTCCTTGACTTGAAATCCGTCTTCGACTCTGTTGATCGGGGCTGCTTGTGACACGGCCTATTCATGAAGAGCCTGCCGGCTAAACTCCTTTCCATTCTGAAGTCTCTACCGTGATCCCCGAGGCCGTGTAAGGGTTCACGGAAAACTCGCCTGAGTTCCCCACGACAAGTGGGGTTCTCCAGGGTTGTCCTATCTCCTTTCCTCTTCAACTTTGTGATTGAGGTGATCACGAACGACTTGCTTCTTTCAGACTATTCTGGAGTGGAAGTTCTGCTGGGTGAGCCACTGACAAACGTGGGTCTGACGCAGTACCTATGCAGACACCGCTGGATAGACTAACGCGTCGCGCTACCCGCTTCGGCATGTGCTTTGCATCTTCAAAGTGCAAAGTACTGCTTCGGTACTGGACCGACACTTCCGGTTTTAGCTCTCCTCGAACTGGATCGCTTCACATATCTAGGTGGCTGTGTCACCTCTAGTGACCACTTTACTGATGAGTTTACTTCGTGTATCAGCAAGCCCCGTGTGACTTTCTAGAGACTCAACCATCCATGGAAGCGGAGGGATATCATTCTCTCCGTGAAATATAGGTTGTATAACTCCGCACTAAGAGCACTCTTACTGTATGGATCGGAGACATGGCCAATCCGCGGTGAATACATTGAACATTTGGCCGTGTTTGACCTCCTGTGCTTGTTTAGTATTGTTTACATCTGGTGGGAACACCTGGTGAGCAATGCTGAGGTCCACCAGTTGGTTTTTGTCTCCAGTGTTTGCTGACTCTTAATTGCTTACGTTGGCTAGACCATGTTCTCCGTATACCTGTTGATGGGCTTCCTTCTCGTGCATTATCCGCCGTGACTGTACCAATTTGGGCGAAACCTGGAGGTGGCCAGTCCATGACATGGCATAGAGGCATGACGAAACTGACTTAGAGACTTGGTCAGACTGATGCGTGCCGTCTTTGTAGATAGGGGCCTCGGAATTGTCCATACCAATGGTTGGAGACCGTATCAGACATGGCGCACTCAAGCAGTGACGTTCCTGCATTCGGCTTGTTTCATCTGGTTGTTAATTTTCGTTCCATTCTGACTATTTTAACGCACTTCCTTCTTGCTTCCATGTTCTCTGTATTCCATTTACATTCCACCACATTATCTTGCCGTTGTTATTTGTCGTTAATTTTGCTTTGTGAGTCATAGCAACTGTATCCACCGCACTTCGGTGGTCGGATCACAATTCTTCCACTGAACTGAAGTGGCGCTACTTCTTTTGGGAGTTTGTCCTAGTCATTCTCTTGCAAGTACGTCTTGCAACGCCACTTACCTCGTGTCTGCCTTCCGTTTGGCGCCTTGTTTTTTTTCAGGCAATCTCTCATTACCGCCGTAAGTTACACCAAATTTACAACCTCAATTTCTTCCTGCTGCTGCTGCTTGACTGTCGGAAAACGAGCGCATAACAGAGCGTCCGGGATGGACATTTGGGTTTCCGAGCTATACGCGAAATCCATGTCCTATTTCTGGAGTTGGATAAACATGCATTTAAGACGTCGATAGAGACTGCGCAACGGTTTACTGGCTATTAAAACCAGCGCTTTATTATCAATATACACGGTAGTCTTCCCTCAAAGGTGTAATCATTGAAGCGCTTCATCGCGTAGACAACAGCAAAAATCCTTTCGATCTGATCATAACGCTTCTCTACCACTGACGGCTTGAGTACGAAAATACAAATGTTTACCATGTTGCACGAGAGCATCACCTATTCCGCTCTGACTGCAGTCACGTTGCAGCTTCAAAAGCAGAGCTGGTTCGTAGCAGCCCAGTACTGCAATGCATTGCTGATGGGGTTCTTCATGGTCTTAAAAGCGGTTCCCTGCTCTTTCCCTAACTTCACTTTCTGACAGCCTCTGGATGGGCGTCATGATTTCAGCAATACTTGGCGTGAATCGATTCAAATAATTCACCAAGTCATTCAAATGCCTGACAGACTTGATGCCCGTCTCCAAGCTGAATTTAGGGAACGCTGTGTGGTTGGGTTGCGACTCGCAACCTCTATAGGACTTCAGTTCACTTTGAGGTAAACCTCGGTCATTCCGATCTCGAGGACCGTATCTGGAATGGAAATATTTGGGTGTTGCTCTTCCCAACACTGGCACACCACGAACCGCGGTTTCCTCCTGGTTTGGACTCGTCAGGTAGAGATAGCCTGGGTTGGGGTGGAACTCAGAGCCTAGTAGCTCATGGCTGACGCCATGAACACTATGCTAATGAGATTCGCGAGCAACGCTAGGCACAGCGGAAGGCAATTCAAAGCGGAATTTAGGGAACACACTGTGTGGTTGAGTTGCGACTCGCAACCTCTATAGGATCTCGGTTCACTTTGAGGTAAATCTCGGTCATTCCGACCTCGAGGACCGTATGTGTTGTGACATCTCTTGTCCTGCTTTTATTTTTCCGGGACCGACCTTGATTCCCTCGGATATTAGAACGTGCTCATTAAAAGTCACTTTCGATTTTCGGAGCTCTTGGAATAACCGGGTTTATTTAACATTGTTGCTATTACGGCTCAGCACCGATTTGACTCAATGATTTTGATTGGATAATTTTAACAACCCTTTCCGAGTGATCAAAATTTTTTACGGCTATCACCTCTCCCCAAGGCCTTCATGTTCACATATGCCAAAATTTTGGATCAGTGTTTAATGATCAAACAAGTCTCACAACATCCTCATCATCATAATGCCAGTGGGCTCCTCTTTTCAGAATTTAACATTGCAATCTAACATTGTTCTGATTATAATTCTGATTCGATTGACGTGAAGTGAAAGTTCCACTGGTTGTCTGACGCTTCGAACGAATAATCTTCGCGACTGGTTTGCTGTTGTCCTCTTCAGACTATCCAATCCCAGAACACCACGATTGACCGATATTTCGGTCACATAACCTAATTAACTCGTTAACGAAGTTACTGTTCCTGGTCCCAATCGTCAGTAACTCCGTGTAAACGGTCTCAAACATTTCCCGTTGGATTGTGATCATGCGTTCGAGCGTAACCTGTAGCCTTAAGGATCACCAACTTGAGCCTGCTTTGGTGACAGGGCGACATCCGCAGTATGCTTAGCCCACGTTCGACCGGTGGTGGTTGCGCGGCAGCGAAGCGTCAGTACTGCATACCGGCGTACTGCTGATGCCTTTTTCCAGTATGATTTACTCCCCGCTTCGTTATGGATTGAAGTAGAAGTCAGTGCTAGTTCACGAGATCTTCCCCTCGGAGCAGATGACTCTGTGACACAACTGCTTCTGCGACCTCGTCTTCTAGATTCTTCTCTCTTATCTATCCGTATCTTTATGCGAAGTTCTGGTTTGTTAGGATTCTTCCAAGAGCAATGCAGTCCATCTGCTATTGGTTTGGCTAATAGGGTCACCCGCACCGTCCTTAACCACATCCGTCACAATCTCCGCCATAGTACGTTCTTATCTACTGTGGAAATTTCAGGATTTCACGCTTCGTAGATCCTTCATAGACCGACACTTTTGTCCCATGTAATTAACTTCCCATCAGTGGTCATATTTGCTTACTATGCCCCATATATTGGCGCCCACCGTTGTCATGTTCCTCAATATCAAAGGTGCATTCGATTCGGTGGACAGACGTGCACTTCGGGATTGTCTACTGAGAAATATGTAAATATCCGAGCATTATACGCGCGTAGCCTAATCTATGACAGCTCACAAACGTGCATAGCGGCACTGCACAGATTAGCACAGGCTATCCGTCACTTCGGGTTTAGCTTCGCCCCCTCGAAGTGCAAAGCGTTCCTCCAAGATTGGCCTGGACCGCCTCCTACGCTGACCCTTAGTCGGGATCAGCTAGAAGTCGTTCAAAAATTCAACTACCTATGAAGTTGTATCAGCGCCTGTGGGATTGAAGATAAGATCACGAACTGTATAGCAAAAGCTCGGGGCGCTTTTGCTAACCTTCTCCACTTATGGCGCCGGCGTGACATCACTCTCGCCCTGAAGGGTATAGTGTGCAATGCAGTGGCGCGTTCGACCCTACCGTACGGTTATGAAACCTGGCCCCTTAGATCAGCGGACATGAAGAGACTAGTTATGTTCGACCACCGGTGCCTCCGCAATTTAGCTCACATCTAGTGGGAACACCGCGTGAGTAACGAGCGTGTTCGACGCCTTGTTTACGGCACAGTAAAAGGAAATGAACCGCTCAGCACCGTCGTTTCATGCACACGGGTCCGATGGCTGGGCCACGTGTTGCGCATGCCAGCCCACCGACTCCTGCGTAGGTGCGTCGTTTGCGCGCCGGGGGTGTGGATGGAAGAAGAGGAGGGGTGGCGAAGCGATGACTTGGTCGAGAGGAATGAAGGTCCTCACTTCGAAGCTGGTCTCATTTGGAGCGTCTCGGTTCCCTGGTTGGGGTCCGAAAGACGATGAACGCATTTGGCTGGATACACTTGTTGATATGGCTAGGAACCGACCTCAGTGGCGTTCGTGTTGTGAGTTTCTTTGTCCCACCTCATCCCTCCTAGCCTCCCTCTCCAACCACGACCTCACTATTTTGCATAGTAATTTTTTTTTGCTACATAGTAGCCGGCAGGTAGCTTTCCAGAACGATGCCCATCCATTGCTGGTAGCTCAGCTGGCTTGCACGTGTTGCATTTTATTCCTTCTTTCTTTTAGATACTACGGCACAGTAGCTGAGGTGTTTCCCACCTCTAGCTAAGGTGTATACTGAAAATGATAATGACTAGGCCCCACTGTTATTTTGTTTCAGTGCTACGGTTTTTACGACGAATGTATAAACAAATATGGCAATGCGAATCCTTGGCATCATTGTTGCAAAGTGTTTGATCTGTTCACAATCGCAGCATTGGTCGATGACTCCGTGCTGTGCGTTCACGGTGGGCTCTCGCCTGAGGTCAGAACTTTGGATCAAATGCGCACAATCGAACGAAATGTGGAGGTACCTCACACCGGACCTTTGTGTGACATCCTTTGGTCGGATCCCGACGATGTGAATCAGTGGACGATTAGCCCCCGTGGTGCCGGTTACTTGTTCGGTCCCAAGGTAACTTCTTCACTCCAAGCGTCTTATTATTCATTAACGGGAACATGGTACAGCACTCTATGTGCATTTGTTCAACGGTTCATGTGGCGTTTTGCTAACGAAGACTTTTTGATCTTGCCTACAAATTTCCAAAACATAATAGCATGCCGTTGACTTTCAGGATGTAACCGAACGGCTTTGTTTAGTCTTGTACTGGCATATTCGCTTGTACACCCATTGTACACCCAACGAACACAGTAAGCTCACAAACTGGGGGTTTCCGGGCTGAGTGCATCTGAGCACTGCGGCTTGACACAACGACTGTTTTACGCCCCACCCCCATAAAGCAATTCCGACGTACTTTTCAATCACAAGTTATCATTTTGTTGCGTTCTCACTTCGGCTGCTGCTGCCGCTGTTTGGGCGCTTCAATCTATCTTTTAATTGAAGGATCCGAGGATTGCCTATATCAAAAGCTGACTCAACCTCAGGTTGTGATTCTCTTTTTGCCTCACGTATTTTTCACTTTCCCACAACACTTCACTATACCATCTTCCCCGCATCTTACCATACATTCAGTTGCTAACTCTCTCACGATAGATGAGAGATCTTGGCAGAGGACCTTTAACTTTTTTCTTCTTCGTATGTGGCGCACGGATAGTATTACTGCCCACTTGCGGCTACGACATTTTCAGGTTTATGATTGTATTTGCCCCCCCCTAAGCTATTCCTGCGGTCATGCGTCACTGGTGAATATGCAATGATGAGGAGAAGTTACACCCCACCTCGTCGCTCCAAACAAGATTATACCAGCCTCTCTGATCAAGCCCGTAGCCGCGTACGTACACAAATCGCTTATTGGGATTAAACTCGTTTGGTTTGTCACTCTTTGGGCAGTATGATATTCAATGGAACATTTGTCTAATCAGTACAAGGAACTAACAACGAGACACACAACCAGTAGTCGTTTTGCTTGTCCTACTCATCTTATACGAAGTCATTTCTGCCGTACGATTGACTATGGTGTTCGCGTTTGGCGAACGCTTGGTTTGTGGGCCGTTTTCCCAGCGATCAGAAAGCACGCCTTCGTACGCTACCAGATTCTGAAATCTATCACTGATCTTTATGGTTGGCGGCATCCGGTTTCGGATTTGCCTGTCACTGTGGCCAGCCACAGGACGCCTGCGCCTCCAGAGGGACCATGGAAGGCTTGCGCTGCACCACACACAGCTCCAACCACACACCCCATATCCAGTGTAAACCCGAACGAATAAGACTGGGAGGCATGTGGATGGTAGCCACGTTTCATCAACGGATCCGGCCCACACTCCTTCAAAAAGCAAACACAAGCAGGCTGTATTTGGGGAATCAAGCGCACACAAGGCGGTGGCTGGACCGTAGTGCGCTCCACACTGAATACGTGGAACTGCTCTCTGAGCCTAGCACGACCACAAAGACCGTGCACCCCATCCCCCTCCAGCAACGACCAACTGTCTATTGGAGCCAGTATGAATGAGGTAGTGGGTAATAGACAGGTAGGCACCTTGTCAACATGTACATCAAGCGCAGCCACACCGGGGGTAGCAAGCAACAGCTAATCACTTGAGAGAAAGCTAACAAAGAAAAGAAATCGAGTAATGCATAAAGAAACGTGACAAAAATCTTAAATTAATGAGCATATGAAATAAGTTGTTAACAAAGGATCCGAGATAAGTTCAGGGGGTCAGAAAGTATATTTTACGGAAATGTCACAAACGCGAAAATGTCATCGAAATTAACCACAATTGGCTTAAGCGAGTTGTGCAGGTTTATGGAAGAGCGTACAGGTGAATATTAGTTTGAGAAAGAAAAGCATTAGAACAAAATTGAAAACCCACCACCTGAAATAAAGAGACTTAGCATGCAAGCACGCGGTTAGTAAATCGAATGCAGCGTACCTACAAACGCTGCGCCGGTGCTGCCTACGTTCTTTGCAGGACCCGTCGTCGAGTGGCCTCGCTCATGGCACACTAAGCCTGCCTGACTCAGGCACCCGCGATCGCATGTGCTAAAGCACCATGTGCTTGATGTTGATGGAGAACAACCCATCGGTGCTTGCCGCTTCCGCACTTGCCGCTTCTTCTCTGCATGCATGAGGGCTTTCTCCTGCACCTCGGCAACTGCCTTCGTGATCAGATCGCGCCATGCACGCCGATCAACCGCCTTCGATTCCCATGATCTGCAATCAAGATTAGAACGTATGAGGCTCACTTTAATCATGTCCTGGTAACGTAACTTTCGTTTCCCCACGTGCCGCTTCCCCACGTGCCGCTTCCCAATACTCAGCTGACCATATAAGAGTTGCTTAGGTATCCGCGTTGAATCCATACGGCTCGCATGACCGATCCACCTAAGGTGTCTCAGCAAAAGTATGCAGTCCACTGCATACATTCCACTTTGTCGCAACACTTCCGTGTCAGCAATTCTGTCGCCCCAACCGATGCGCAGAATCCGTCGCAAACACTGTTGATGGAACCGCTCGAGATATCGCACATCCCGCCGGTACATCGTCCACGTTTCACTGCCCTATAGAAGAACGGACAGCACCATGGATTTGTACACCATCAGCTCCGTGCCAATGGTAAGCTGATGGTTGTTCCACACTCGGTACTCTAGCTTCCCGAATGTCGCCGCTGCCTTCGACACGCGGATACTCAGCTCACCGTGTATCTGCTGATCAGTCGACATCACACTCCCAAGGTTGCAGAAGCGGGAGGTGATTTCCAATACTTCAGCACCAATGCTGATTCGCAGCAATATTGAAGATTGCACCTCCGGTGAAGGCTGAAAGAGACAGACAGTTTTGCTTGTGTTGATGGTGAGCCCGAATTTGGCAACAGTCTATGAATAGAAATAGAGCCATCAGAAAACATGGAACACAAAAAAGGTACAGAAATAGTAAAAGGAAACACAACACAGCACATGAAAATCCATGGTTTCTTCAGAGGGCGAGGTGCTACCTGGTTGCCCAAGCCGAAGTAGGGTGTTGACTTAGGGGACACCACTCCGAGCCTTTGGCTGAATAGTCTGTCCGCAAGGCAGCAGAGCAAATTCAGGGAGTCGCGCCCATGGGGAGCGGGTGACTTATTGTTCACTTCATACGCTTTTCGTCTGTTCCTTTGTCAAACAGGGGCCCAATGCTCCCCAGAATTACAGCGCAAAGTTGCTGGAATACGATGCTTCGCCAGGATGAAGCAAGGGACAGTGACTATTTAGTGGCGAGTCACGTCAGCCACGTCACAGTGTTGTTAAACGGACATATGTGGCTTTTTATAGGGAGAACGCTTGTCAGGTGAAAACCCACCACGTCCTGGAACACTGCAGCCGAACCATTTGCTGGAACGGGAAAATCCCAAACCACCCAGCTGGCACCACGAGGAGGTTGTTCGGCAAGCCAGCCATCACTGATCTTTGGTGTCTCAAAAATATTAGTTTTCTGAACCGCACTTCCGCGAGATACACAACCATATACGCCGAACTCCATCGAGGTAGTTGTCCTCTCTCCTCGTTCCGTTGGTGTAGGACAGCTATCTGCCATCTCATTTTCAGTCGCTTTCACCACTTTCTAAGTTATGCAACTTTAGGCTTTACCTTTTGTTATCCATGACTTCACGCAAGGTCAGCTATTTGTACCTGTCATTACAACCTAGTGTGTTGTTGGGTTCCCCGATTCACTCACACAAACGGGCAGGAAGTGTGCTTGTCCAAAACATGGACGACATTGAACCGACTGCGGTTTCGACAAGCTCGAGACTGCTTACCTTGAGTGAATTGGCTGGCGAGTTAGTGTTGACCCTTGGGAGTTGTATGCAGCAAGCTGGACCTAAATGTCGATCAACACCGAGTTCTGTATGCACACATATCATCGACCTGGTTAGTACGAGTTTACGCTCTCACTGTCTATCACTTTAAATCCCACCTAAGTGCTGCTAACGGATGCCTGTGTACTTTTGAACAGCGGATTGGGTGTTAACTAAGCCCTTACCACTCTTGTTAGTCGTTATTTTTCGCCGTTTCCGTAAAAATTAGTTGACGTGAGAGCTGTGGAAACCGCCTCCGGAGATGCTTCAACCATGTGTGGATAACCACTGTAGGCCTGTGACCGAAAGGATTTGACGCATGCCTTTAACTCAAAGGTTAGCAAGTCCGAAGGGAACACCGCGTGAGCAATGCACGTGTACTGCGTCACGTATTTGGTGCAGGGAGAGCGAGCGAATCGCTCAGCACTGTTGTATCACGCACCATATCCGATGGCTAGGCCACGTGTTGCGCATGCCAGCACACTGACTCTCTCGACTTGCGTTGTTTACGTGTCGGGAGTGTGATTGGAAGGAGGTTTGGGGGTTGGTGGACAAGCGAATACTTGTTCTAGAGGAATGAGATCCCTTCGGACTTTGTGTCTATCCGTGTCTCACGACTGCCGAGCTGGAGTTCGAAGCACAATGAACACTAGTTGGTATGGCGAATATCCGACCCCAGTGGTGTTTCGGTTATGAGTTTTTTGTCACTTCCGTTTATCTTCTCTCTCCAACCACGATCTCACACTCTAAGCACAATGTGATACTTAGCATTATATATTTTACTTTTTCCTAGTTTTTTGTATCATCTAATGTTTAGCATCTCGCTTTTTTCTATTGCGACACAATAGCTGAAATGTGTTTCTCGGATGCTAATTTTTATGACACTGTCCGAATCCGCGTAAATGCTGCCGATCTCGCGACACACCCACTTCAATCACAACTGATAATGGTTCTTCGGCAGCGACGTGTCGGTGCGTGGTGTGGCGATCTCATGGTTACGCAAAATCTTCCCAACTGTCATCTCCATACTGTTGCCGTGATATGAGTACTCGATGTGTTCTCAAATGATAATTACATCCGTCACCGACTGCATGATCCCTCAGTAACACCGTTTATTACATGGTAAATACGTCACCCTGACGGTTGCCTTCCAATAGCGAGGCCAGCTATGCCCTTATTCTC